CGAGCTCACAGCTTTTTAGCCTCGGTCTCAGACATTTTTGCCTTCGCTCAGGAAGGAGGGCTCCAGAGCAAGCTAATTGATGCAGTAGCCAAATCACTCACTCACAACTTTAATGCCAGTTGCTTACAAAGTAGAATTTTTCCTCGCAAGGCTCTACAGCTTAGAGGGAACATTGGGTACGAGGTGGTGGAAAGAGGACAAGATGTAGTGGAAGGCCCTCTATGGCCACCATCAGGGGATGGGGGGGGTCTAGGGTTGCCAAATCCAGGTTAGGAGACTCCTGGAGATTTGGGGGTGGAGCCTGGGGACCTCAGTAGGGGATATTGCCACAGCACCCACCCTCCAAAGCATCCATTTTCTCCAGAGGAACTGATCTCTGTCCTCTGGAGAGGAGCTGTAATTCTGGGAGATCTCCAGGTCCCACCTGGAGACCCGCATCCCTAGTCAGGACCACAGCGAGACACACATTCTGATCGAATGCCAGCCATTTTAAGGCCCTGGTACAAATATGCCAGGAGCTGTGGTGGCTCAAGTGGTTAAGACGCTGAACTGCAGGCTGTGGAAGGTCGGTAGTTCAGCAGTTCAAGACCCGAGTGTGCCGCATGACGGAGTGAGCTCCCGTCTCTAGTTCCAGCTCCTGCCCACCTAGCAGTTCGAAAGCAAGAAATTGGAAGTGGATAAATAGGTACCACTTCAGTGGGAAGGTCACAGCGTCCTGTGCGCCTTGGTGTTTAGTCATGCCAGCCACATGACCACGGAAACATCTTCAGACAGCGTTGGCTCTTCGGCTTTGAAACGGAGATGAGCACCACAACCCTAGAGTCAGACTTGACTGGATTTCGAGCAAGGGAACCTTTACCTTTACCTTACAAATATGCCAAGTTGATAATCCGAAAGTACCTGGGGGGATGTTGGGGTGAGACAGCATGGCAGGAGACCAAGCAAGCACTGGCTAGAGACCTTAATCAGGTGGATTTCTGGCCATCTGTTTTCCCCCGGGGGTTTCAGTGCTGCCTGAGGTGAAACGGGGAAGTCCCTGCGGAAGATGGCCGCCGTCATGGTTGGATCTCTCGCTCTTCATGCAAATACGCTTCGACGGGCGTGATGATGCCGGCCAGCTCAGCACCACAGCCCAGGGTAGGAGGACGGGAAAGGGGGTGTATCAGAGGCCAGTTATCGAGGCATTTCCTTACAAGGGACATGACGTGAAATTATTAATGGGGTAGGAATGTGCAGATAGATCGGGAAGGGAGGAGGGTATGAGTGAATGAAGTGAACAACCACCAACTGAATTATTCAAGAGGGGTTCTTTTCTGCACAAGAAATAGGTTCGTATTGTACAACGTTATGAGTGAAGGTACTTGGGCAAATGATCAGGGAGTGCCTGGTGTTGCCAACCTCCAGGTGGTGGCTGGAGACCTCCCAAGATTCCAACTGATCTCCAGCAGACAGGGATCAGTTCACCTGGAGCAAATGGTTGCTTTGGAGGGTGGGCTCTATGGCATTGTATGCCATGGAAGTCCCTCCCCTCCCCAAACCCCACCCTCCTCAGGTTCTGCCCCCCAAATCTCCAGGGAATTCCCAGCCTGTAGCTGGCAACCCTGTGATCTATACCACTGTGTATAGCTTGATGTAAATTGGATTCCTATGATGTAATTTTTGCATCATTTAGGGTGCGTTCAGACGCGCCGTTTGATCTGATGTCGTGACGGTTCAACAACAGATTTTATCTGCACGATCACACAGTTAAAATCTGCCTCCCGTCCACAGCCATTGGTTTCCAGCTCAAAACCGCTTTAATCCGGAGTATTTTGTTACCTGGCCCCAAAGTGGTGTTTTCTCAGCTCTCCCGTTTAAAGCCGCATTTCCCCCGTGTGATCGCTCCTTCGGTGTCAAGCCACTTCCAATGGTTTAAGCCCCCTCCCCGCTCGAAAGCTGCTCGAGGCTTCCACTTTTCGCCCACCATTTTTTAATGCACTGGTGGTGTGCGCATAGGTGGAGCACCGCCACCGCGTTTAGAAAACTAACATTTAAATGGTCACTTGTTTTAGCGTTTAGATGAGTTTGGGATATCACGGAGGCCATTCTTGGGTCAAACATTTAAAGGGAAGTCTTTTGTTGGCAGGGTTGGATTGATGCGCCCTGGTGGTTCTGCGCATGCACCATGAGTTCCCCTCGTTCTACGGTGGGGTGCCTATGCACATTTGCAAACTGAGAAAAAACGCTGACACACGCTCCCGTACGTCGGCAGTGTAGACAGCAGGGAGCGCTGCAAGTGCGCGGTAAAGTGGGATAAGGGAGATAAGTGTGATCGCAAATATCCAGATCAAATATAATCCGGTTAGAACAGGAGCAGTTTAACCTGCTCTCAGCACGCCGTCTGACCGCGCCCTCAGTCTGTCGTGTTAATATTTCTGCTTTGCGTCAGTTCTGTTTTTAGATTCCTGGTTGGTTCAGCAACCCGAATCCCGTTGCATCGTTTATTGAATGTCCCATCCTGTCGATTGCATTGATTCATTCTACATAATCCTCCTGAAGTCCCAGTAAGCATCGCAGACTATAAATAACGTAAATAAATAAACAGATACGTCCTAAGTTCACATGAAATGAAGTCACCGTTTAGGCACTTGTGAGGAAGTGGAATCGCCAGTGCTGCAGACGCTTGCACCTGAAAGAGCTCAACGAAACAGTCAAGGAAGGAATGTTTCAAATTGCTAACAAAAGAAGCTTTGTCTGGGTTCTGGCAGTTATTGACAGTAAGGTGCTTAAAAATGTGTAAAGTTAGGAGATGAGGTGTTTCTTTTGTCTGCCGTTTCCTCTTACGTGTGTCTAAAGTCCTGTCAAGTTGCAGCCAACTTCCGGAGATCCCAAAAAGGGCTTTCGAGGCAAGCGAGAAGCAGAGGTGGTTTGCTATTGCCTTCCTCTGCAGAGCCGTCCTTGGTGCTCTCTCTTCCATGCACCGAGCCTTGCCTAGCTTCTGAGATCTGATGAGATCGGGCTATACCCTGCTGCCTTCCCTTCCGTTTGGTATTACAGAGAGATGGACACTTCCGGGGATGACATGACGGGGGTCCTGGCAAAGCAGAGGATGTTATAGTATCTGCAACCCTGAACTGCCTGTTGGTGCTGAAGATTTTGACATTTGTCAGGGAAGCTATTTATTTCTGCGAAAGAAAGAAAGAAAGAAAGAAAGAAAGAAAGAAAGAAAGAAAGAAAGAAAGAAAGAAAGAAAGAAAGAAAGAAAGAAAGAGGGGGGCGAGGGAGGGAGGGAGGGAGGG